CCCGCCGCTACGAGCAGTGGCCAAGGATAATTACCTACCTGTTGACCCTAACATTTCCCCTTTGACCGTAATAACTAATAAGTGATTGCGGTCGTCAACCAATTATATGACACGTGACCATTTTGGGGGATTACTGGCTTCCTCCGTCGAATCTTGAGCGAGAAAACTCACTGACTCATTCTCATTCACTGTCGCTTACTCTCTCTCTCTCTCTCTCTCTCTCTCTCTCTCTCTCTCTCTCTCTCTCTCTCTCTCTCTCTATCCTCATTTACTGAAATAATTCACTCTACCTTACATACGTTATTTCCCTGCGCTATAATTACCGCTCCACATTTGTGAAAGCAAGTATTTATAAAGTATGTTGACCAGACCCCACACTAGAAGGTGAAGGGACGACGACGTTTCGATGGTCCGTCCAGGACCATTCTCAAGTCGATTGTCACTGTCCTCTACCGGACCGAAACGTCGTCGTCCCTTCACCTTCTGGTGTGTGGTCTGGTCAACATACTTTAGCCACGTTATTGTGACTCGTCGCCTGCAGATTTATACAGTTCCCACTGATATTGAGCACTTTAACGTGGAATATTTTGTTTGTGTTTTTGACTGGTTAGAACAGTAGAAGACGACTTCTGACTCCCAATATAATATTTTCTTTATTAATACATTTTGGGAGGTGTGTTATGGGCTGCCCAGGGGTAGGGGAGGGGTGTTATGGGCTGCCCAGGGGTAGGGGAGGTGTATTATGGGCCCCCCAGGGGTAGGGGAGGTATGCTATGGGCTCCCCAAGGATAGGGGAGGTGTGTTATGGGCTCCCCAGGGGTAGGGGAGGGGTGTTATGGGCTGCCCAGGGGTAGGGGAGGGGTGTCATGGGCTCCCCTGGGGGTAGGGGAGGTGTGTTATGGGCTCCCCAGGGGTAGGGGAGGGGTGTTATGGGCTCCCCAGGGGTAGGGGAGGGGTGTTATGGGCTCCCCTGGGGGTAGGGGAGGTATGCTATGGGCTCCCCAGGGGTAGGGGAGGGGTGTTATGGGCTGCCCAGGGGTAGGGGAGGGGTATTATGGGCTGCCCAGGGGTAGGGGAGGGGTGTTATGGGCTCCCCTGGGGGTAGGGGAGGTGTGTTATGGGCTCCCCAGGGGTAGGGGAGGGGTGTTATGGGCTCCCCTGGGGTAGGGGAGGGGTGTTATGGGCTCCCCTGGGGGTAGGGGAGGTATGCTATGGGCTCCCTGGGCCCCAGGGGTAGGGGAGGGGTGTTATGGGCTCCCCTGGGGGTAGGGGAGGTGTGTTATGGGCTCCCCAGGGGTAGGGGAGGGGTATTATGGGCTCCCCAGGGGTAGGGGAGGGGTGTTATGGGCTCCCCTGGGGGTAGGGGAGGTGTGTTATGGGCTCCCCAGGGGTAGGGGAGGGGTGTTATGGGCTCCCCAGGGGTAGGGGAGGGGTTTTATGGGCTCCCCTGGGGTAGGGGAGGGGTGTTATGGGCTCCCCTGGGGTAGGGGAGGGGTGTTATGGGCTCCCCAGGGGTAGGGGAGGGGTGTTATGGGCTCCCCTGGGGTAGGGGAGGGGTGTTATGGGCTCCCCAGGGGTAGGGGAGGTGTGCTATGGGCTCCCCAGGGGTAGGGGAGGGGTGTTATGGGCTCCCCAGGGGTAGGGGAGGGGTATTATGGGCTCCCCAGGGGTAGGGGAGGGGTGTTATGGGCTCCCCAGGGGTAGGGGAGGTGTGTTATGGGCTCCCCAGGGGTCGGGGAGGGGTGTTATGGGCTCCCCAGGGGTAGGGGAGGGGTGTTATGGGCTCCCCAGGGGTAGGGGAGGGGTGTTTATGGGCTCCCCAGGGGTAGGGGAGGGGTATTATGGGCTCCCCAGGGGTAGGGGAGGGGTGTTATGGGCTCCCCAGGGGTAGGGGAGGGGTGTTATGGGCTCCCCAGGGGTAGGGGAGGGGGTTATGGGGTTATGGGTATGTGTTATGGGCTCCCCAGGGGTAGGGGAGGGGTGTTATGGGCTCCCCAGGGCGTAGGGGAGGGGTGTTATGGGCTCCCCTGGGGTAGGGGAGGGGTGTTATGGGCTCCCCAGGGGTAGGGGAGGGGTGTTATGGGCTCCCAAGGGGTAGGGGAGGGGTGTTATGGGCTCCCCTGGGGTAGGGGAGGGGTGTTATGGGTAGGGGAGGGGTATTATGGGCTCCCCAGGGGTAGGGGAGGGGTATTATGGGCTCCCCAGGGGTTAGGGGAGGGGAGGTGTTATGGGCTCCCCAGGGGTAGGGGAGGTGTGTTATGGGCTCCCCAGGGGTAGGGGAGGTGTGTTATGGGCTCCCCAGGGGTAGGGGAGGGGTGTTATGGGCTCCCCAGGGGTAGGGGAGGGGTGTTATGGGCTCCCCTGGGGTAGGGGAGGGGTGTTATGGGTCCCCAGGGGTAGGGGAGGGGTGTTATGGGCTCCCCTGGGGTAGGGGAGGGGTGTTATGGGCTCCCCTGGGGTAGGGGAGGGGTGTTATGGGCTCCCCAGGGGTAGGGGAGGTATGCTATGGGCTCCCCAGGGGTAGGGGAGGGGTATTATGGGCTCCCCAGGGGTAGGGGAGGGGTGTTATGGGCTCCCCAGGGGTAGGGGAGGTGTGTTATGGGCTCCCCAGGGGTAGGGGAGGTGTGTTATGGGCTCCCCAGGGGTAGGGGAGGTGTATTATGGGCTCCCCAGGGTTAGGGGAGGGGTGTTATGGGCTCCCCAGGGGTAGGGGAGGGGTGTTATGGGCTCCCCTGGGGTTAGGGGAGGGGTGTTATGGGCTCCCCAGGGGTCGGGGAGGGGTGTTATGGGCTCCCCTGGGGTAGGGGAGGGGTGTTATGGGCTCCCCAGGGGTAGGGGAGGGGTGTTATGGGCTCCCCTGGGGTAGGGGAGGGGTGTTATGGGCTCCCCTGGGGTAGGGGAGGGGTGTTATGGGCTCCCCTGGGGGTAGGGGAGGGGTGTTATGGGCTCCCCAGGGGTAGGGGAGGGGTGTTATGGGCTCCCCAGGGGTAGGGGAGGGATGTTATGGGCTTCCCAGGGGTAGGGGAGGGGTGTTATGGGCTCCCCAGGGGTAGGGGAGGGGTGTTATGGGCTCCCCTGGGGTAGGGGAGGGGTGTTATGGGCTCCCTGGGGTAGGGGAGGGGTGTTATGGGCTCCCTGGGGGTAGGGGAGGGGTGTTATGGGCTCCCAAGGGGTAGGGGAGGGGTGTTATGGGCTCCCCTGGGGGTAGGGGAGGTGTGTTATGGGCTCCCCAGGGGTAGGGGAGGGGTGTTATGGGCTCCCCAGGGGTAGGGGAGGGGTGTTATGGGCTACCCAGGGGTAGGGGAGGGGTGTTATGGGCTCCCACAGGGGAAGGGGAGGGGTGTTCGCTTATCTCAACGTGTCAGCTCGCTGTTGACCCTCGTAATTGTGAGGGCGGGGTGGCGGAGCGCGGCTGGTAATCGATGCCAACACCGATATTAATTCGAGTGCGTGAAACCCGATCAGCGCGGTGAGTGTGGGTCCGCGGGCTGGGCGGTGGACTGGATGGTGGAGTTGGTCCGTGGGCTGGGCGGCAGGTTGGGTGGAAGGCTGGAAGTTGGGCTAGGTGGTGGTCTCGTCAGGGCCTATAAAGGTGGAGTGGGTGGCGGTGTGGGTGACGTACCGGGTGGTGGGCGAATGTGGGCAGAATCATACCTCAATGTCTGTTTGACTTGTAATGCAAAACACTACGAACGTATGCGACGCGCTGCGCTCAATGTCTCATCTTCCTCCTCCTCCTCGAGAGGTTTGGATTACAGAGACTGTATGGACAATTATTTTGTTCTCATGCACCACCTTAATTTTTCATGACAGTTCATCCCTTGAGAGAGCACGGAGCTCCAGCTTGCATTCACTCCATTTCGATGGAGCACCATCGAGTTGAGTGAACGATATTGCTGATAGTTTCATTTACAGGCGACCAGCGGACGGCCCTCTGAACATGATGACTTGTTAAATGTGTCATGTTAAGTTGGGTTGTGATGTTATGTCACCCCATAATCCCTACAATCAGGTACCCATAACCCCCACAATCAGGTACCCATAACCCCCACAATCAGGTACCCATAACCCCCACAATCAGGTACCCATAACCCCCACAATCAGGTACCCACCTCCCCCATAACCTCCACAATCAGGTACCTATAACCCCCACAATCAGGTACCCATAACCCCCACAATCAGGTACCCACCTCCCCCATAACCACCACAATCAGGTACCCATAACCCCCACAATCAGGTACCCATAACCCCCACAATCAGGTACCCACCTCCCCCATAACCTCCACAATCAGGTACCCCACCTCCCCCATAACCCCCATAATCAGGTACCCACCTTCCCCATAACCCCCATAATCAGGTACCTCCCCCACCTCCCCCATAACCCCCACAATCAGGTACCCCCACCTACCCCCTATAACCCCCACAATCCGGTACCCACCTCCCCCATAACCCCCACAATCAGGTACCCACCTCCCCCTATAACCCCCACAATCGGGTACCCACCTACCCCCTATAACCCCCACAATCAGGTACCCACCTAACCCCCCATACCCCAACAATCAGGTACCCACCTCCCCCACAATCAGGTACCCACCTCCCCCTATAACCCCCACAATCAGGTACCCACCTCCCCCATAACCCCCACAATCAGGTACCCACCTCCCCCTATAACCCCCACAATCAGGTACCCACCTCCCCCTATAACCCCCACAATCAGGTACCCACCTCCCCCATAACCCCAACAATCAGGTACCCACCTCCCCCACAATCAGGTACCCACCTCCCCCATAACCCCCACAATCCGGTACCCACCTCCCTCTATAACCCCCACAATCGGGTACCCACCTCCCCCTATAACCCCCACAATCAGGTACCCACCTCCCCCTATAACCCCAACAATCAGGTACCCACCTCCCCCACAATCAGGTACCCACCTCCCCCCATAACCCCCACAATCAGGTACCCACCTCCCCCTATAACCACCTTGGTCCTGCCCGCAGAATCGTCCGCAACAAGGCCGCAGAGAAGGCCAAGCACGGGCTGCCGGGGACGCTGTCGCCCGTGTCTCAAGCCACGTCAGTGATCGCCCACGCCCCGCCCGCGCCCCACGAGACGGCCCTCCAGCGGCCGGGGTCCTACTCCATCAACGGCATCCTCGGCATCCAGGCCCACACTGACCCCAATGGCAACATCAACAAGAGAAAGAGAGAAGATTCTGGTGAGTACAGCTCGCGTCGCCATGTGTGGCCGTTTATTTGGGGATAATATTTATATTGTTTAACTAGACGTTTAGAGTCCTAGTTCTCCTTGTCATGGAAGGTAGCGCTAGGGATAAGATATATTGATCCATCTCCTTTAGGGACGCTTTATTCATAATATTCCTCCTCGACCTAATCTTCTCTTAGATTCCTCCTCGACCCAGAATTTCCCTAAGATTACTCCTTGATCAAGGCTTCCCTAAGATCTCTCCTCAGCCAACCACCTAAGATCACTCCTCTCTCCCTCTTCTCTCTCTCTGATAACTTGAAACGAAATGGTTATCGCCTCGTTTCCTTAATCGACCCAAATGCTGTTTATCACTCTCATATGTTTATATCTGCTCACCTCCTCCTTCACTCCAGCAGCCCGAAGCTTCCACTCGTCGAGAATCATTTTCCGTAATCTCACTGGTGATAAACAATAAACTTCCAGTTGGATTATGGAAGTTCCGCATGTGGTCCCTACTTCTGTATGTCCACACACACACACACACACACACACACACACACACACACACACACACACACACACACACACACACACACACACACACACACACACACATTGTTGATTGACGGTTGAGAGGCGGGACCAAAGAGCCAGAGCTCAACCCCCGCAAACACAACTAGGTGAGTACAACTAGGTGAGTACACACACACACACACACACACACACACACACACACACACACACACACACACACACACACAGCATATAGGGGCGATGGTAGCTGAGTGCACAGCACGCTGGATACGTACGTAGTCTGTGATCCGGGGTACGATTCCCGGCGCCGGCGGAAACAGATGGGCAGAGGTTCTTTCACCCTGATGCTCCTGTTACCTAGCAGTAAACAGGTGCCTAGGAGTTAGACAGCTGTTACGGGCGGATTCTTGTGTGTGTGTGTGTGTGAGTGAGTGTGTGTGGAAAAAAAATTAGTTTAGTTAGTAGTTGGTAATAGTTGATTGACTGCCAGTTGAGAGGCGGGCAAAAAGAGCAGAACTCAACCCCCGCAACCACAACTAGGTGAATACACACACACACACTCACACATTGTGGCCACGTGGATAAAAGGTCTTTAAAAAAGAGAGTTGACTATAGGAAAGTGGATTACAGGAGGATAAGGGAATATCTGGGAGAAGTTTAGTGAGAGGAAGAGCTTGGAGGAACAAGGTATGATGGACATAACTTGGCGGCTTGCGGAAAAGCCCTAACTTGGGTAAGGAATTATCTATCAGACAGAAGCCAGAGAGGCCAGTCAGGGGCGAGAAGTCGGAATGGCGAACAGTAACGAGTGGAGTACCTCAAGGATCGGTGCTGGGACCAGTTCTGTTTCTAATATACATAAACGACATTTCTACAGGAGTTGAGTCCTATTTGCCGATGCTCGCGGATGATGCGAAATTAATGGGATGAGTTGTGACCGATGAGGATTGTAGGATACTCCAAGAGGACTTGAACATGTTGCAAAAATAGTCAGAGAAATGCTAATAGAGTTCAACACGAGCAAGTGTAAAGTTATGGAGGTGGGAATAGGTGACAGGAGACCAAAGAGACAATGAAGGAAAAATATCCTGCCTGTGACGATTCGAGAAAGAGACCTGGGAGTGGACGTAACCCCAAACCTAACTCCTGACGCACATATAAATAGGATAACGACAACAGCGTACTCTACACTGGCGAAGTTAAAACATCATTCAGAAACCTCAGTAAGAAGGCAATTTAGGGCGCTTTACACTGCCTACGTGAGACCAGTTTTAAAGTATGCCGCCCCATCATGGAGCCCCTACCTGAAGAAACGTATAAGGAAACTGGAAAAGGTTCAGATGTTTTCTACGAGGCTCGTCCCAGGTGAGATATGAAGAGCAATTAAAAAAACTAACACGACGATCTTAGAAAAAAAAGGAGAGAGGAGGGGACATGATAGAGACGTATAAAATACCTCAGTGGGATTGAGAGAGTGAAAACAGATCAAATATTCACCTTGAATACCAATAGAACAAGGGGACATGGGTGGAAGCTTAAGACTCAGATGAATCATAGAGATGTTCGAAAGTTTTCGTTTAGCGTAAGAGTAGTGGACAAGTGGAATGAACTAAAGCATCAAGTTGAGGAAGCAAACTCTATTCATAATTTTAAAGGTAGATGTGATAGGAAAATAGGACAGGCGTCATTGTTTTAAACAACCGGCGGCTAAAAAGGCAGGGTCCAAGAGCTAATGCTCGATCCTGCAGGCCCAAATAGGTGAGTATGTACACACACACACACACACACGAAGACCTGCAGCCAAGCTCTCTCAAGCCGCGAGGAAAGTACACAACTTCAGCTAACTGATACTGGAGGAAGCATCAGAAATCATCCCAGACTCTTCCATGATCAATACAATGAGTGTGGCCAGCCCCCTGTCCCACCCCTTCCTAGCGATCAAGACACCTCTCCCCCACACTCCTCTCCTCTCAACCCTCAAGTCTCCTTCTCGTTTGCTATAAAACACAGTATAGTCCTAAGGGAGAAAATATTGGGCGTGAGAAACTAGCCGCCGCTGAGCCCTTGGTCATGGCAGGTTCAGCCCCGTTGGCCTTAAGAGTGAAGAAGTTGCAGCGTTGCCACATCCTTCTGCTCTCCTTCTCCGTTTTCCGTCTTGTTTATTATTTTTATTATTATTAGCAATTATTATGTTCGTATTCAAGATCATTTTGATCATGTACTCTAACATTTTGAATTTATTCGTTTACCCTGTGATGAGGCTACAGTTGAGTATTAAGAAGGTCGCTCACTACTCTAGCGAGGCGGCAAGGAAATTCCAGGTCTTCTGATTGCAGAGACGCGCCCCGTCTTGTTATTTAAAAAGTCAAAACTATGTCGTCCCTTGAGACTTGCCTACGGTAAGTCAGCTAAGTGTCTGTCTAGCACCTCGACACGGGGGAAAAACAGCCAAGTGTCTATCTATAGCACCTCGACACGGGGGAAAAACAGCCAAGTGTCTATCTACAGCACCTCGACACGGGGGAAGACAGCCAAGCGTCTATCTACAGCACCTCGACACGGGGGGAAGACAGCCAAGCGTCTATCTACAGCACCTCGACACGGGGGGAAGACAGCCAAGCTGTGGGAACCGACCTGTGAGATTTATATTTATTTAATTTATATGAATTTATATTTACGTTAATTTATATACTTCGATAGCAATTTGTATAATGATAAGTGGACTGTATTTCTGCAATAATCTCATAATCTCACAAATCGATCCTCTACACATTAGGGGGGGTTTATATTACACATATGCAGCCAATCAAATTACAGTAATAGCTACATACATTGATGAGGTTCCTTCTCTTATAGTACAGCAGGTTAGTCCACCAGGTATAACTAGAGTGTAGACACCAAATTATCCTCTTTGAGGTAGCTTCTATCACCCAGTAACTGGTGCACATAATCTTGCATCCTCGTCTTGACCTGTCAAAAGTGCGCTAGCTGTGAAGCCAGAATCCTATATATGACAAGTATATCAGAGAAAACACTATACAGTACATGGAACATTAAAGACCTGGCTTAATTACCTTTAGTTTGAGGCGATTTCGCGTTCTAACCGGCTAACCCTATATCCTGACATTAATGGCCATAAATGAATGATAAACGGGTTTCGGATAGACTTAACTTGAATTTGTAGACAGCGTGTTGACAATGGTACACCTTTGGCTTCCATAACACTACGTCCAAGTAAATTTAACAGGAGCCGAATTTGCTCCCGTGTGAGCCTCTGGTCTCGTATAAACAACAATGGCTGCCCTCCTTCCTCCACTCTGACGCCTGGCTTACATTGTCCACATTTCAGAAAGTGATAGAAGGGTCACATTTACTCTACTTTAATATTGATAATTAAGTTAATTTATATAAGATGTTTTTATGATGGTAAAGTCCAAAGACTAATGTATTTAAGAACAATTCCCACCATAATAGGTGGAGAATATAATAGTATGTGGTGATGATATCCCGTTTTCTTTAGACGGTAATTCCACTACAAGTTACGTTTTCTATGGGTAACTTGTTGGTAATACAGCAACAAATATTATCTGTCTGTATGATTATTAAATGGTGTCGGATTTTCCGACATAATTCCCCAGGGGCTGCTCACGGGTCGAAGTCCTAATTAGAACAGACGAACACCGATACTCCTCCTTCGAATTATTAGATTAATTTGATGTTAGTAGTTAGTAATCACACATTTGTGCGTCTGTTCGTACAGGACGGATGTCCCGTACTAGAGTTGCAAGGGTTAGAAGTCTAATGCGATTTCATTTCCCTGTCAACTCTTGAAAGGCTAATATTCAAGCCTTATTACATATTATTTAACCCAGAAGACTGGATGTGATCAAGTACTACAGTCAAGTATGATTCAGGGACTGCAGTGAGATCAGTGACATTAGATATAACTTGAAGTTTCTTCAGGTAACTGGTCACTGATATATAAACACTGAGGCCCATGGAATACATCTTGATTAAATAATAAATGTATCAAATCAGTCATCAGATTTATTAGGGTTTAATTTAGTTAATTGATTCAGAAGATTGAATAGCTCATCATTAAAGTAAAGTATGGTTCTGAGACTGCAGTGGGTTCAGTGACATTGGTCGCAGTGACTTGTAGCTGTTTTAGGCTACTGTTCACTGATTTGCCACTGAGGCCTCATGAAATCATCTTCAGCTTCAAATGATGATACTAACATCAAACTCTGTTGGTATAGTCAGCTGTAATCTCCTTAGTATAATGCTACTGGAGAAATATAATCAGCTGACAAATTTAGATTCTACTGGTATTGTTTATCTGCAGGCATAGGTCTCCTCAGGCTTGATACTGGGCCTGAGAGTAATTTACCTCCTGCAGAGTTTAACATGGTTATACCCTGATATTTAGTAGGGCTACCGATGAATCGATGACAATAGTCTGTCCCAACAAGGAGA